AAAGCTGCTGTAAGACCACTGAGGTTACTTGTTACTGAGGTATAACACAGTCTTTCTAGGCTAATACAGTTAACAAGTATTAAAACTAGGTGTCAGGTTGATTTTATTATTCTACTTTACTGGAATGTTTTATAATAAAATGTTCAAGTAATGATTTTCTTTGAAAATGAGTTTCTATACTGGTGGTATTAGTTCAAGGAGACTATTAATGTCTTGTTTGTGATACTGGAGCCAACTCCGTGTGGTGAGAGTAAATATTTTGGTACAGTGGAAAGAGTCAGGACCTGGTACTATTTTTGTTTTAAGATTTTATCCATTTATTTGAGAGAGAGAGAGAGAGCGACAGCATAAGCAGAGGGAGAGGCAGATGGAGAGGGAGAAGCAGGCTCCCCGTGGAGCAGGGAGCCCAAAGCGGGGCTCGATCCCAGGACCCTGGGATCATGACCTGAGCCGAAGCAGATGCTCAACCGACTGAGCCACCCAGGCGCCCCTAGACCTAGTACTATTTCTGATTGACAAGAATCAGGTTCTTTGGATTTCGGTTTCCTTTCCCGTAAAATGAAAGGAGCCTCTAAGTTGCTTTCCATTTCTAAACGGTAATGATTAAGCAATTTAGGCACCTATCCAATTACTTTTTAAATAGATATAAACATATATATGTATTATGTGCAGCTGATATTAAGTCTATTTGCTTTTTCTTGGAACTCAAATTTCTTTCTTGATCATATTCACTTTGTTTCTTGTGTAGATACATGGTCGAGGAACAAATTTTTAAGAAGATGGTCACTTTGAGGGTGAAAGCAAATAAATTTTATTTTCCCATCTCAAAGTATCAGCCACATAATAGTCCATACAAGAACTAAGTACATATGAAACACCTCGGAGAGGCACGGGGCCAAAAGTATATGGTATGTGTGCATTTATAGGGATAAGGCTGTTTACAGTTCTTACTCTTAAGAAGAAAGCTGGAGCTATTTTAAGTGTCAAAAATAAGGATCTTAGTACTATTTTAAGGCAATACATGCAATATTTAAACAGAAATAGCAATCAAAAAGGTATGACACGGGAATAATGCGCTTTGATAAGACTCCATGGTGACCAGAAATTGGAAGCTGACACCTCCTAACGTCACTCCTCTGGTTTCTACATGGAGGGAGCTTGCTGGAGTGACATTCTGGGCCCCTTCCACTCTTTCCTTGTCCCAGGGAGGACAAAGGGCTCATCGGACTGGTCAGCATCAAAGTCAGGATGGTGGTTCTGTTACTGCAACAGTTATTTGCAGGAGGAGGGGACACACGGAAGCCACTTCTAGGCTGGATGGCAAAGCTCTGTTTCTTGACTTGGGTAGTGGTTTCAAGTATATACCTTACAATAAATCATTAGGCCACATACTTGTTTGTTTGTTTGTTTTTTGTAGTGTTCTGGATCTTCACTTTATTTTTTTTTAAAGATTTATTTATTTATTTATCTGACAGAGAGAGAGAGAGAGCACAAGGAGGGGGAGGAGCAGAGAGAGAGGGAGAAGCAGATTCCCTGCTGAGCAGGGAGCCGGATGCAGAGCTTGATCCCAGGACCCTGAGATCGTGACCTGAGCCGAAGGCAGATGCTTGATGAACTGAGCCACCTAGGCACCCCTGAATCCTCACTTTATAGTAAAAAGATTTTGATTGGTCATTTGGGTAGAGGGGGTCTGTGGCTTAGCCCCTTCCTTTCTTGTTTTCTCTCTTTGGGTTGTACCCGTCTGGAGAAATGGGCTTTCTCTGCTCCTCCATGCCTGGGGTTTTAGGGGACCAGGTCCCCCACAGATGGGGAGGCCAACAGTTCTAACAGCTTGAGGGGCTGTTCAGTTTTGTCAGTGACTGAGGAAGAGGCTCTGGTTCTGGAGCCTCGTACTAGCGAGCCCATTTGGATGCAGAAGGAAAACCACATTTGCTAAGAGCCCTAACAGTGATCAGAGTAAGAGAGGAGACCCCTTGATAACACAAACATGTATGTTGACTCTCCCACCCCCTACCCCTTTTCTCGGCACGTTGTGATGGGGGGAGCATAACGTAATGTGCATTTTTGGTCTCGTTTGTTACTATGCAGTGCTGCTGTCGAAGATGAGAAAACAAGAAAAGGGAAAGATGTAAGTTGAGTAAGTGTCAGTATGTAGAATGAAAGCCGTTGGCAGCATCCCTGGATACATCCAGTAGAGAGAGGTTCATAAGCAGAGAGGGAACGAAAAGGTGAAAGGGTACCTGCAATTTGTGACTCTAAATATTCATGAGGTTTTCCCTTCAACCACCCTTTGTGGTCCTCGGTGTGGGCAGTCTGGGAAACACAAAGAGAACCCTGGGCAACTTTGCAGGCTCGTGTAGTGCCTGGGACAGGGATGTCTGGCTGCAGGCCCCTCCTCTGATGGGGTCTCCTTGCTGGGAGGAGACAGGGCTGGGACGCTTCGTGTGGCAGAGAAAGACAGACACACACCTGACATTAACACAGTGCCACCGGGATTCAGGGAGTGAATCCCACCGCCCTGCGTGCACCCTTCCCTGAGCCCATTAATGAACCCTACTTCTTTCCCTTTGCTCCTTGCCGTGTCTTTTAACTGACTTCACAATCAAAGTGCATGGAGCAGCTTAATTTGGCCAATGAGACCGTCTGCACTGGGGCGTCTGGGATCGCTTGGCTGCTGGTGTCCAGTTGGCGATGAAGATGGGATGAATCCCAGCTGGGTGCGCAGGAAGAACCAGGTCACACTGCAGAAATGCTCTGTGAAATTAAAGCAATATTTAAGAGGAAGACCATCAACCTAGGAGACTGTGAAAAAACTGACTAGTCTAGCATAAAAAAGGCATTAAAGCAGGGGGTTAGGAAATAAATCCAGGTCAAAACTCAATGGAGGCCTGATCAAATTTATAGGGAAATAAACCCCCAGAAAACCCAAAGCCAAAGGCGATGTCCTCGGGGTTGGTAAGCTGTGAGGAGTGCGGGCATAGATGTGTGGCAGATGTCCAGCTGAGCAGCGCCTGCCTCTCTGGGAGCTGACCCCAGAGGGTGCTCTGCTCGGGCACCCCAGCTCCCCACTCCGCCTGGGGGCAGAGAGGACCACTATGGTCCACGGCACAGAGTGTGATTCGCAAACCCAAAGATACTGCCCATGGCCCTGTCGCCTGTCACAAAACGAGGAACTTACAAAAGGTCAGACTTTAAGGAGTAAAGAACTGGATCAAGTCTTGGGAAACATAATGAGTTAACAGTGGGGGAAAGAAGACTCTGCCCCCGGCCACTCCGTCACTGTAGGTTTGTCTTTCCAAGAATGTCTTGCAAATGGAATCACCCCACACTTGATGCCCTGAGCCAGGGCCCCAAGACGGACCCCATGTGCTGAGGGTGTCAGTCCCATGTCTCTCCTTGTCGCCGAGCAGAATCCAGTGCTGCGGCGGTCCCACCGTCTGTCCATTCTCTCACGCGCCAGAGGACATTTGGGTTGTGTCCAGTTTTTGACGATTACGGGTAGAGCTTGTACAAGATTCTGCGTGAAAAGGACGTTTTATTTCTCGAGGGTAAGATCCCAGGAGTGGGACTGCAGGGCCATCTAGTAAGTATCCTTTGAATTCTGGGGGACACTGCTGAGCCATCCCCAGGTTCCGCTTGCTGCACATCCTTGCCAGCCCTTGGTGCTGTTGGGGTTCTTCACTTTAACCATCCTAATAGGTGTGTTGTGCTTCCTTCTTATTCTTTTTTTTCCTCTTTCTTGGGAAACTTCGGGGATTCATTGATCATCAAAACAAACAAAAAAAAACAAAACTCTGTCACTTATTGCAAACCTGGAAGAAAAAGTACGAAAAGTGGGGAAAAAGTGGGAAAAAAAGTACTAAAGAGGGGAAAAAATCTGAACAGCTGAACAGGAACAAGAGTCACCGGACGTCATCAGAGGAGGGGGTTTAAGACCAGATGTTATGGGGGAAACACGGAAACAATGGCTCTCTCACAGGAAGACCACACAGAGCGAATGTGTATTCTCACCTCCAGCCACCCCTCCGTGAGGTCGTGGGAACACCCAGGAGCCTAGAGTGAGGACCCAACGACAGCAGATCGTCCTGTGAGTGAGCTACGCAAGCCCTTCACTCTCTCCTGCTGTCCATCCCTTTAGCTAGAAGTCGCTGTTTCTGATAACCATGCTTTCTTATCTCTGTTTCATGTTGGCAAGTAGGCTTTCGGGCTAAAAATCTGTCCCAGTCTGAATCCGCATAGACACCAATTTCACATACTCTCTCTCACACTCACACACACTCATGCACGCACGGGTCCTCGGACAGTATGTTGGGCATAACAACAAACTGAGACACTAAGTGGAAAACAGTGAGAAACAATGACAACCCCTAGTGCAGTGGGCCACACGTACCCCTGGCCAGACTTGGGGGGACCCCGGCTCTCGACTCCTATATAGTGAAGAGGTACAGCGCAGTGTGGCCTGAACCAGAACGTGTGACTCACCATTCCTGTGTGAGGTTACCACCTCCCAGCCAGGGGGCTTGCTGGCATTGACAAACTTGAGGGGAAGCCCCTGGGCCTCGGGCCTCCCTGGCCTGGTGCTGTGCTGATACCTGGGTTGCCTGGAAGGCCTCCATTCTTCACCCGCTGCTGCAAGATCACAGTCAACCAAGGTTGGGGAGATGACCAAGTTGGCTCAATTACAAGCTATCATTGCAACAATGCATAACTGTATTTTGCACTGAGTCCTAAACAATACCAAGTTGTCTAATACTTGGTGTGCAAATTGACAGACTATACACTGAGATGTTGTTGGCAATAGGGTAGAGCAGTACATCTAAAAGTCACAACATTTCCAAGGGATGGGTGGGATGTGGCTCCACGCACACCTTAAAGGAAATATCCGGAGCCATAACACAGGAGGCAATGGGTGAAATAGCTCAGAAAGGAAAGAAATACACCAGTTGGACAAGACACACTATCTCACAGAAGATAGCAAATTGTGCTCCTGAAACCTTAGAACACCAAGGAAAAAATTCTTTGAAAATGAGGGCTGAACAAAGACACATTCCCTGACCAAGAAAGCCATTTTAACAGCCATCCAAGGGAGCGAACCTTCCATCCATCAAGGGAGAAACGGAATCATGAGATAAAGCAAGCCAGAGATGGTGGACGGGCACAGGCAGCTATCACACAGAACAACGGAACACCATCTCACTATCATGGGTACAAACTCACAGTTCGCAGTGGCCGTCCCTCCTGCCACTGTCCACACGCCTCTCCCCAGTGACGGCACCAACAGGGCTTGTGCGAGGGGAGAAGGCTTCCACTTCTCCATCCCTCCACATGGGAAGTGCTCGAAGTTTCTTTGACTCCTTTGGCCTAGAGAGAGTTATGAAGCGCCAATTAAAAATAGGTGGGAACGTAAACCAGTGCAAACACTGTAGAAAACAGTATGGAGGTTCCTTAAAAAAATTAAAAATAGAATTACCATATGATCCAGTAATTCTACTACTACTCAAAGAAAATGAAAACATTAATTCAAAAGATACATGCATCCTTATGCTTGTTGCAACATTATTTACAACAGCCTAGAGTGAGGACCCAACGAGAGCAGATCGTCCTATGAGCGAGCTACGCAAGCCCTTCACTCTCTCCTGCCATCCATCCTTTTAGCTAGAAGTTGCTGTTTCTGATAACCATGCTTTCTTATCTCTGTTTCATGCTGGCAAGTAGGCTTTGGGGCTAAAAATCTGTCCCAGTCTGAATCTGCATAGACACCAATTTCACATACTCTCTCTCTCACACTCACACACACACATGCGTATACAACCAAATGTCCATCGATAGATGGATGGATAAAGAAGAGGGGGCATGTGTGTACACACACACACACACACACACACACACACACACACACACACAACCAGAGTATTACTCAGCCATAGAAAACAACGAGATCTTGACATTTGTGACAACATGGCTGGACCTAGAAAGTATTATGCTAAGTGAAATAAGTCAGACAGAGAAAGACAAATACCATATGATTTCACTTACATGTGGAATCTGAAAATCAAAATAAGCAAAGCAAAAAGAGACCCATAAATACAAAGTGGTGGTTCCCAGAGGGGTAGGAGGTAGGGGTATAGGCAAAA